GCCCCGTGTCAGGCTCCCTGCCCAGTGGGGAGTCTGATTCTTGTTCTCCCTCTGTGCCTTCCCCAACCTGTGTGTTCACTCTCTCTTTCAAATAAATAAAATCTTTTAAAAATAAATAAAAGGTTATCGAAGGAACTGAACAGTCTTGCCTTAGAGAAAGGGAACAGGACCAGCAGCAGGGAGAGAGATGTGCATTTCTCATAAACACATTTGCGCTCTTTGGATTTCCTCGTGTGTTTATTGTGTAAAGGAAAGTTCTTAAAAATTATGGAACAAGTAAAAGTCTATGTTTATCATAAAGTAAGGTGACATCAGTTTAGTGAAACTTTTCAAATATTCTTACGTGGCAGGTTTTCACAGTCATTCTGTAAAGCTGTTGTAGGCACCAACCTTGGAGTATGCATATTTACTGACCGTGGGATCTTGGAAAAGTTACTTAAGCACTCTAAACGTCTGCCTTCTCCTGTAGGATAGGACATAATAATAACTACCTTCTGGGGATGTCGTGAAAATGAGATCGCATGATGAGATGGAAAGCAATGAACGGTGCGTGACGATGTGTCGTCCTCAGACGTTCTCGTGTTCTGGCTAATGCTGACAGGCTGGCTCTTTAGGGACAAGGGGTTGCCAATGGCGGTGATCTAACTCAGTCTTCTCCTGGCAAGAAAGGGAATGTGTTGGTTCGCACAAATGGAAGTCTTGGGTAGACCTGCTTCTGGGCATGGCTCTATCTAGCACCTCCCTCGAAGGTACTGGGACTCAGTCTCTCTCCATCTCTTTGCTTCCATGTTGGTTCATTACCCTGGTGGCTCTAGGCTTACATTGTACGAACTCCCAGTGACGAGAACCCACCGTTTCTAACCAAAGTCCCTGCACTGGCTAATTCTCCTGCCTTGGTCGTAGGCGCATTAGCCAAGGGACTGGAATGCAGTGATTGGTGGACCCAGATTGCAGTCCTCTCCTTTGAGCCCCTGATGGGAAGGGTCAGGCTAAGATGTTGTTCATCAGGGTTTTTGCTTGTCAGGCTGAGAGACAAAGAAACCACCTGAACCAAAGACTGTGGAGAAGTTTCTTCCCCGAAGGGAAAAATCGGGGCCAGGCTGGCAGAAACTGCATGTTCCCCCTCACGGCCCACCGCTTGGCTGCCTGACAGTTATTCCTATTATTTTTATATGTACATTTTCAGAAATTTAACAGTACAACTGTTCATTACAATAGCACGTCATCTCCGTTTGAGCTGAGGTTCTCAAATTAGCACATGGTTCCTTTATAATAAAAGCCACCCCTGATAATGCCTCAGGAACATAACAGTGGGGGTGACCCGCGGCACAGTCCTCCTGTCCAGCCTTTACTCTCAGTGAGGACCCGATGGCTTGGCCTTCTGCTGAGCACCAGGTAGATGCGTCACTTTACCGGTGGGGCCCTGGGATAGGAAGGTCTCTTTGTAAACAGAGTAACTCCCAGTTCAGGGAAATGGTCACCCTAAGCAAACAAACATCTCTCTCTGACTGAGAGAGATTTCCATCTGCCCTGGTGTGAGCAGAGACCACCTGGACTGTTTAAAACCTCCCAACCAGTTTTTTGGGTTTTTTAACCAGGCGTGCGTGCTTGCCTTTGTTAAGGTGAGCGTTGACATAACGCTGCTCCATCAGAGACCAGAGTGTTTGGCCCTTTCCCAAGAGAGAGCCCGGTTACTGTGCCCTTCTGTCCCCAGGTCTGGGAGCTACAGGTAGTAAGTACTGTGTGTTCCTCTCAAATCCGTTCAGCCCCTACCACTGCACCCTGGACGAAGGCTCATGGGATAGCCCTATCAGAAGCGTCCAGTGGGAGAAGGGAGATGACACAGTGATCACCTCCCAAAGCGCGCCCTGTCTCCTGCACCACAGTAAATTCCAGGCACTGGGAGACTTGGTGCAGCCCATAGGACCGCCTCAATTTCTACCCTCCAGGAGGATTTGCTGGGGCTGACCTCCCTCCACTGCTCATTTCTTGCTGTAGACGTAGGGGCTTGGTGATTGATTCCCTTAGAGGCTGAGCTATCTTAGACCTTTGCTTTCTGGACTTAAGGATTCTCTGGCAGTAGAATTGCCTTTAAGATTTTGTAGATTTTCTACCTAGTATTTAGATCGGATCAACTATCCAAAGGCACACAACCTGCCTAGTCCTGGTCCTTGAAGTTGGACCTCTGTCTCTTAGCAACAGATCTCCGGGAATTTCCCCAGCCTACAGTTTACAGCTTCCACAGGCCTTTGCCTCAAAGCAATTTGGAACAATAGCCTTGATGGGAAGACAAAAGTAATGTGCCCCCAGGCGGCTAGCCTGTGGGTGGTTCTTTCTTGCCAGTGTTCGGAGAGATTATATAGACTTTGAGACTTCCGGGCCCAAGAGTTCTAGGTCCCAAGCTCTTTTCCCATTCGGCTTCCTTCCAGGGCCCTTCACCTGGAGGGAATACAGCTCTGTATCTCTCAGATTGCTTTCTATGGAGAGAAAAGGCCTCCTTAGCAAAGCTGTTCCCCCCTCGACTTTCAGGCAAGCTTCAAATGAGGTCTCTTGTAGGTAATTTCCTGAAGGCCCCAGAAATGACCCACCCACTCTGCCACTCCGGAATGAGGCTTGCCAGCTCCCCGTTGCACCAGGGCTCAGCTCGACTCAGCCCGCCCCACAGGCTGTCACTTGCAACACCACACTTCCATTTCCCTAACTCGAAGAGCTTTAAGCAAAAAGGAGATGTTATGGGCTAATGCAACGGAGAAATCTGAGGCAAAGACCAATCGTGGCCCCTAGCATATGACCTTGATTCAGACTTTTGAAGGACAGACTCAGACCCTCTCTCTCCATTTCTCCACTCCACTCGCCCCTGTGGGCCCTCCATTCTCCATGGCTTCTGGCTGATGTCAGCCTTCTGGGGAAGGCACAACACCTCCTTGCCAGGAGTTCCAGAAAAATCCCTGGGGTTGGCCTTTTTTTTTTTTTCCTTTTTTTTTTAAGATTTTATTTATTTATTTGACAGAGAGAGATCACAAGCAGGCAGAGAGAGGAGGAAGCAGGCTCCCCACTGAGTAGAGAGCCCGATGTGGGGCTCGATCCCAGGACCCTGGGACCATGATCTGAGCCTAAGGCAGAGCCACCCAGGCGCCCCGGGTTGGCGTTTTTTTACCCCGCTTTGGTCATATGCAGTTCACCGCGGCCATTGGCGGGGGGGGGGGGCAAAGATCAGCCAGGCCGGGGTCTCGTCGGGGCACAACACACTTGGGCTAGCACCGGGGAGGACTGCTCCCCCAAAACAATCAGGGAGATTTTGCCTCATGAAGAGGGCATGTTTGGTGGGCCAACCGTCACAACAGGCTCACACAAGGATTTGACCGAATATTTGGGAGGAGAAAATGATGTTAAGAAATCTGCCAGATGTCATTCCTAGGCCTTTAGAGTGAAGTTCAGCCCAGCATTGCCCAACAGAAAAAAGGCAAGCCACAGGGTAAAAATTCTATACATAGATAGAATACTAATTTTCATACTATCTGATTTAATCATATTTCATAAAGCCAAAATGGTATCATTTTAACATGTAATCTGTGTAAAAATGACTAGTGAGATCCTTTACCCTCTCCTGTGCTAAGTTTTCGACCTCCAGCGTGTATTTCCTACTTCGAGCACATGCTGCTGCGGGGAGGCCACACGCGGCTGGGGACTGGTGGAGAGAACAGAGCAAGATTCGCGGGTAACTTTCTATAGAGAGGCTGCATCTCTGTCCTCAGCTGATAAGTTATCCCTCCGTTTCCATGTCATGAGGGGTTATGTTGAAATTGTGCGTCCCCTCACGAGAAGAACGTGGCCATGCCGGGTGTCTAGTCATTGGCTTTCCTGTCCAAACACCCATCCCACCGTACGGTTAGTTAGTACACAACAGTTACTTAATTATCTGTCTCCTCTCTAGGACTCTACAGGCTAGGGAGGCAGACGCACTTACCCATCTTGCTTTACCTCTGTTCGCTAAGACCAGTGCCCAGTCCACAGACACTAAATGGATATTTTTTAAGTAAAATTAAATTAGATGAAAAACTTGAATGAAGGGGTGCCTGGGTGGCTCAGTCGCTTAAGCGTCCGACTCTTGATTTCAGCTCAGGTCATGATCTCAGGGTCTGAGATCAAGCCCCATGGGGGGGCTCCATGCCGGGCATGGAGGCTGTTTAAGATTCTCTCCCTCTGCCCTGCCCCTCCCTAAAATAAAAGAAAAAACTGAATGAAGACTCCTCATTGGCCTGGTTTGATGACAAAAATGGAGACAGGAATACTAGTGGAAACCCAAGATTGAGCATTTGCATTTTTGTTATTCTGATGAATGACCATTTGTAGTCTGTGACTAGCTGTGTTACTGTTTAATCACTCTTTCTTTAAACATAAATATATGTATAGAGAGAGAGTGATTGAATACCTACAGAAACCCAGGCTGCTTGCCAAACCCTAGGTATACAAAGATAAATGGGAAACAGTCCCTGCCTTAAAGGAAATGAGAAACAGATAAGTAAAATAACCCTTCTATCCAATAAGTGTTATAATACACAGAAACACAGTGTTTGTGGGGAGCATAAGGAAAGAGATCCAACCCAGATCAGAGATGAGTGAAGGTCGGTGGCTGAGTGTCGCAAGGGAAAAGCGAATTTGCGCTCCAGGGTGTCTGCTGTGGTCTGATTGTGTCACCCCACGCCTGGTACATAGTGTTGAATCAGTGAAAGGGGTAAGCAGAGTGGCCCGTGACCTAACCCTAAAGGACCAGTGGATGGGTCCATCTGAGCCTAGACAGGTAATCCCTTGCAGGTGAAGAGCGTTTCAGCGTCGGCACAGACCTGGAGCCAGCAGCTGGCCGGGGGGCATGACAGGGTCCTGGGTGAGGCAGAGCAGAGGGGCCAGCAGCCTGTTTGGCTGGTCTGTGTCCCAGGCAGCCCCACTGCTTGTGATCGCCCACGTGACCGGTGATGAACGATTGCATTTTCCCGTTGCAGGCAAAGCGAAGGCTGGAGCTAGGAGAAAGCGGTCATCAGTACCTCGCAGATGGCTTAAAAACCCCCAAGGGCAAAGGAAGAGCCGCCCTGCGAAGTCCAGATAGTCCAAAAAGTAAGGATCCCTTTGGTCTCGTACTCTCCTTGGTGTGGGCTTCCCACCTTTCAAAGCTGCTGGCTGAGAGGGAGCCAAGATGGGGATAATTGTGGCACGTTGTGTCCTTTTCTACTTCTCTCTCTGTTCCCATCCAGAAAATAACAGAGTATCTGCAGACACCCCACAGACACTGTAGGGTCCCTTCGGTCCCTGAATACTGACTCGGGAGGAGGCCTTTTTAAATGTGTGCGGTGTCATTTTTCAGCTCGGAATACAAGCTCCCTGGCACCATTCTATAATCAAATTTAATTTTAACTTCCCTTCATGGACATCACTTTGGAGACCAGGCTCCCGGGGCGTAGAACGGTGCCAGGGTCAGTCAGGTCTGCGCCCGCCTCGTCCTGTGGCTCCGCACAAGGCGCTGTCAGAATGGACCAAAACCCAACCATGGCAGCTCGTTTTCCTTTCCACTGATTGTTTCTTTGACAAAAGAGAGAGAAGGAGGTTGGAAACAATGAAATAGCCCTTTATGTCTCTGGTGTTTAACAGAGATGCTAAATTAGACTTTGTTCTCCCCTTTCCTGGAGTTTACGAATCGGGCCGTCCCAAACCCTGTGCAATGAACACCTGCCCAACAGCTTAAATATGGTATTGAATGAGGACCTAACATGCAGGAGGGACAGGGCGAGTCGATGGAAATGCTGGTTGGGTAGTCTTCATTGACATGAATGCTGGTGCCCAGGTCCCAGACACACACAGACCATGGACCCTGCAGAGCTGGTTGCGGGGGGTCAGGTTGAGTACCCCCCACCACCCCCATCATGAAAATGAAATGCAGGAGAGATTCGCAGCCCCGGCCCTCGTGGGTTGGGCTCTGCACGTGCTGGTGCTTGGAGACCATAGCACGTTTTCATTCGTTCAACAGATAATGTTGAGGCCTGCCGTGTGCGGGACACCTCCCTAGACCCAGGGAGGAGGGTGAGGCCAAGTCGGAGCTCCTGGGAACGTCACAGCACAACGCTTTCATGCAACGGGAATTCGTACTGTCCCTTCCTTTTCTAATAAAGCCATTTCATAGCTTTCTGTAACTTACCGAGAACACTGGCCGTGGCTTTGCTTGGATGCTAATCCTTGGGCTGCAGCGGGAAACAGGGCTCGCCTACCTGCAGAGAAACCCTTCATTTCTTTACCTTTCCCCCTATCCCCCCCACCCGCTCGGCTTTTGTTTTTCTTTAAGCTCCAAAATCTCCCTCAGAAAAAACACGGTATGACACATCCCTTGGTCTGCTCACCAAGAAGTTCATTCAGCTGCTGAGCCAGTCCCCCGACGGGGTCTTGGATTTGAACAAGGCGGCGGAGGTACTGAAGGTGCAGAAGAGGAGAATCTACGACATCACCAACGTGCTAGAGGGCATCCACCTCATCAAGAAGAAGTCGAAGAACAACGTGCAGTGGATGTGAGTACGAGCCACGACCCCGGGCCCTGGCACCACGTTCACGCCCGCGCTGCTTCCGTGGGCTCCTCCCCGCTGCCCCTGAGCCCCCAGCCGAAGTCCAAGGGCTCTTTGCCCTCTAGATGCGGTCGGAGACGTTGAGTTGGCCTCAGGCAGGGGGGTCCCTGCCCACTCCATGAAAGTGCTGTTCCTCTGCACCCGGGAGGCCGCGTGTGCTCACGTGTGTCACCTGAAGGAGGCTGGCCCATGTCTCCGGCTCGTCTCTAACAGGGGTTTGGAAATGAACACGGCTCTGTATGAACACAGCCGTGTAGCTGTCCCATGGCCACGTATCATCATCCGTGGCTCTAACAGCGGGTCAGCTCGCTTTCTGCGTAAATAGAGGCAAGACTTAGAGGCCTCAGTCCCTCCTGGAACGCAGGGATGATAACACATGCCCCCTGTCCACCGACACGTGTGACTCAGTGTATGGTTAGTCCCGTTTGTGGATTGCGGACGGAGCACTCGTGTGGCCGGTATTTTAGGAGGAACGATGAAGGCATTGTGGAAAGGAACAAATCTGTTATAGGCTGGCTTAGAGAAAAGACTCCCTCAAACATGACTTGAGTATGGGGAACTTTTTGTACTTTTAGGGAATTTTCTGACAATCCAGTGACCCATTTTGGCCTGTGGTTTAGAGAAACCTGTTGGGTAGTGGTCTTTGTTCATGTGTACAGCGCACACATCTGTTCCCTTAACCTCCTTTTCCTTCTCCGTGGTTGCTAGAAGACCCGCAGGAACTACCTAGGTCTTTTGTGCTTCCCGAATGACATTCTGTTGAATTTGAACCACTCCTCTTTTCTTTCACATTTTTCTATCTCTCAATATCTCTTTATCCTTTTTTTCCACCCGTTGTTTCTCTTTCCTCCCGGGAGGCATGTGGCAGGCAGGGGCTCCTCCTTTTGCCCTTTGAATTTGAGCCTTCTGAAAAAACAGGCCTCCTGGAGGAAGGAAACCTGGAAATTACAGTGTTGGGGGTTTATTGGGTTTCTTTGCCCTCCACTTAATTTCTGTAGTGTGAGAGGTGAAGGACTGTGTGGACAAAAAGTAAATACAAAAGTATAAATGTTCTGGGGCGCCTGGGTGGCTCAGTGGATTAAAGCCTCTGCCTTCGGCTCAGGTCATGATCTCAGGGTCCTGAGATCGAGCCCCGCGTCGGGCTCTCTGCTCAGTGGGGAGCCTACTTCCTCCTCTCTCTCTGCCTGACTCTCTGCCTACTTGTGATCTCTGTCTGTCAAATGAATAAATAAAATCTTTAAAAAAAAAAAAAGAATATCAAAAATATGAGATAGCAAGAGCTAAAAAGAAAAAAAAAAGTATAAATGTTCTGATGTTAACACTTGGCTAACAAGTGGGTCCTCCTGTGTCAAGGGGGAACATCTTACTCAAAAGGACATTTCTAGGGCAGAGTGCCTGGGTGGCTCAGTGGGTTAAAGCCTCCGCCTTTGGCTCAGGGTCCTGGGATCGAACCCCTCATTGGGCTCTCTGCTCGGCAGGGAGCCTGTTTCCCCCTCTCTCTCTCTGCCTGCCTCTCTGCCTACTTGTGATCTCTCTTTGTCAAATAAATAAATAAAATCTTTATTAAAAAAAAAAAAAAAAAGACCATTTCTCACTGCCCCTCCCCCGCACGCTCTCCCCCTTGGCCCCCGAGCAGTTACGAAGAGTCTGTGTTTGGGTTCCCAGGGGCTGCAGTCTGTCTGAAGATGGGGGCATGCTGGCCCAGTGTCAAGGCCTGTCCAAGGAAGTGACCGAGCTCAGCCAGGAAGAGAAGAAATTAGATGAACTGATCCAAAGCTGCACCCTGGACCTCAAACTGCTAACCGAAGACTCAGAGAACCAAAGATATCCTTTATGCACCTGTTCCTTGGGGGTTAGTGCCTTCTAGAACACAGCCAGTGTTGAACACAACCAGTGTTGACAGGCTGACTCTTCCGCACAGGTAGAATTTTACTCTGGTTAACGCATGTTCTTCACGTGTGGCTGGGGACATACGGATACACGCAGCGCGTCGGGCAGCACTGTTCTAAAATAGATAAGGTGTCAGCGTTAATATTAATGACAACAACCAGCAGCTCCCTCTCTGTCTCCCCAGATTTCTGGTGGGCGTCCGCTGTCACTGTTGGGGTTCTCACATTCTATTTTCTTTTCATCAGATATTGGAGCAATGGGAATTTGTTGAATCTGTCTGAGCTATAGCTGAAGGAACGAAGAGCCTAGAAAAATCATTCTGTAGCCTCTAACCGTGCGTTAATGCTGATGTTCAACACCAGAAACTGATTTCTGAATCTCCCGCCCTCCCACCCCCGATGCCTGAGACGTCTCAGTCTGTCCATCCATTTACAGACATTCGTCCTTAGAAATAGTTTTAAAAGCCAGTTCTTGTCAATCTGTTGGCCGTCATAGGAAAACTCGCTGCTCATCATCTCACTTCCGACAAAAAGGGAAAAAGATGACTTCGTCGCGTTGACGAGAAGATTTTGCAGTATTCCCAGTTATGCATAGAAGATGAAGCCCGTATTTTAAGAAACCCCACCTCTTAAGTTGTGTCCCCCCTTCTGATTGTTCCACATTACCTTTTATGTCTGAGAGGCTTTCCCCTTGGAGGGTAGGGGGACATTTATTGTTCAATTGAGGCTGTTTTTTGAAACTGCGATTACTCATTTTCTGTCGACCACAGGATTGATCTTGCCCACTGATGATTAGTGAGGTGGAGAAGAGGTGTGGTGATTTGAACCCCCAGTGGCAGCCAGAGTGGGCTTATGGGGGAATAAACAAGAATAGCTCTAGTCGAGCTGTTTCATTCACCCTTTAGCTGGGAGCTCCGTGGAGGACGAGACAGGGTGGTTACATGTGATTGGCAGCTCTCTGGAATGTGCAGCTTACAGCCTCGTCGACAACATCAGCTTCCTCTGGGGCCTTTGTTGCAGACACTGAAAGCTTCCTTGTGGGGAGCTGCTAACCCAAAAAAGCAAATTCAGGAGGGAGCCACAGTGGAAGTACTTTTAAGTTTGTAAGATCAGAAAACGTGTTTGCACAATTTATTTCAATTTGCCATTCGGTTCCGAATGTGGTACGGCTTGTTCACAAATGTGTTGAAATTTTCCTTCCTGCAGGATGTTGAGTAACGGTAGATGAGTTTTTATTTTAATAAGTACTTGTCACGTAGCTTTTTGACAGTGGACTTACGGGGTAGGTACCTGGTTATCAGTTTTTCCATGTTCTCAGTGAAAACTCAGAACTGTCAAGTCTCGTATCAAGGCAACAGTTGGCTTCCTTGACGAGGTACATGGTGACCTAAGACCCAGACTCTTGCCTGAGCTGTGTCCTGTAAGCTCAGCACTGAATTTGCTGTCATCTCAACCATTAAGACTTAAAGAAGACAATCTGTGATAGATATCCCTAAAAATACATACAGATCTGGGGTGAATGTGCTTTTTTTCTGCACAGTAAGGTTCCTAGCTTCCTTCAATTTCTAACTAAAAGCCACTGTTCTAAGAGAAGCATTTCCTCCTGACTCTCTAAACCTTATTTCTGTATGAAATGTGTTAGATCACAGACTCTATTTTCTAATATTATATTACCTGCAGAAAGGTCTTCATTGAGTCATGTAATTTGCTGTTTTATCCTAGGCATTTTTTGTGGGCTAACATAAAAAACACAACAGGCTAAAGACATTGTACATTATTTATGTCACTCTGTGTCCCTTATAGAAGAGAGTTATGTGACTCTTACAAGAGAACTATGTGAGCTCCTTTAGTGCCAAGTAAAAACTCGTCTCTCCAGGCAAGCTTGCATGAATACTCTATCATGTAGTAAGTACCATAGTCTTTCATGATATCCTCTTAGGTTCGGCCACCAGGACACTTAAAAGAATTGTTCAGCACCCAGAAGTCATGACCAAGGGTAGTGAAATACTCTTTCACTCTCATTTCCTGCAACAGTGTTTCTCAAATTAATTCAGGTTGCAGAGCACTTAGAAGCTGCCTTCCCTCCTTGTGAACACTGAAATAGTGATAGTGATATCATACAAAGGATAACTTTTTTCTAACAGAAACGATGACTTTCTTATCAGTAGGCAGTATGCAATCACAACCAGCCCAAGTGCCCTTAAGAAAACAAGCTGTCTGCCTGACCCGTTTTCTGAGTTCTTCCACCACAGTGTCTGTTGGCTACTCGTGCGTTCATGTGCGTGGCTACAGACATTTGCTAATGGTCAAGCAGCAGACAGAAGTTACCAGAGTTCCAAAAATTATATGGGCAAATAGAGCTTACCTTTTTTTTTTTTTCCCTGTAACTTGGAATCCGCCATCTTTCAATTTGAGTGATAGAACCACTTCACCAAAGTTCACAGAATGTCTGTGCTAGGAAATCCCCACCAAACTGGGTTTGGGTTTTCTTCTGATAATTTAACTATTCTATTTCCATGTTTAACATTCTACATCACCATGGGCTTTTTAGAAATGAGTAGGAGAACGCTATCGATTTGTCTTGTTGTTTTGAGTATCAACCAGAAAAGGTTTGCGAGAGATCCCATGTGTCTAAAGATCGAGACAGAGAGACCAGTATGTTCTTACAAGTCATAAAATACTTGAAAATTTTTCCATGCATCTGTTCTGTCAGTCTTCTAAATGGTTACATTCCTTAACAGTTACTACGTTAGCTTACGTTACATATCAAGATATTCGAAAAATTAGTGGCCTTAAAGACCAAACTGTTATAGTTGTCAAAGCCCCTCCAGAAACAAGACTTGAAGTGCCTGACCCAATAGAGGTAAGGAGATAACATCTTTGTTCATCTGCAGAGATCTTTTTGGAGTGCCCGAAGTTAAAGGATCATTGACGCGTGGTCAAAGTATGCATTCGCCTGACACTCGATAGTTCTTTCCCATCCCTTTTATCTAACTAGAACTTCAAAAACATTTCAACAGTTCAGTACATATCGAGTGTCTCAAAAGTCTAATTTTAACATCGTGGGGCCTTGAACGCAGGGTATGGTGCCCTGTCCCTCTAGTACTTTTTCTTCCTCAACACTTGGTATCTGGAGGTTCTGACTGATTTCAACCGTTGGGGAATTTCATGTTGATTGCCTTGGATTTGTTCCCCACCAGGAATAGACATAAGTGTTTTAATGTATCTCCCTAACTTTAATTAAAAAAAAAAAAAAAAAAAAAGTATCTCCCTAACTTATCGTAGCACATTTTAAGAATTTATCTTTTAAAACATGTTTACTTTTAAGAAATCACATGTGACTTTGGCTGAATTGGTAGACAAGAATACTATAAGAAAGTAGGGAGCATATTTTTGTGATTAGTCTCTGATAATCTTTGCTAATATACGCCTGGACCCTAACTATAAGATAAAGAAATGTAGCAAACAGAAAATGCGTAGAAAATAAAAAGAGAGTGAGAGTCACAAGCTCCCATCTAGGGTAGAGTTCTCACCTAAATGATAATAATAGAACTATGACCCAGATGAAGAAGAATTTTAGTTGTTAGTGTGCTGCATTCTCTTATTAAACACTGCTCCTAGCACTTAATACTCTTCATCCAGTGGTTATTAAAGTTCACCATAAAGGTGATAGCAATATGGAGATACCGTCTTTGAAACACTTGGAGGACCTTTTCATAGTTTGCATAGGAGGAATATATTTAAAGAACACAGTTCACCTCCTCTTGGGCAGGGGTCCCCGAACTTTATCTTTAAAGGGCCAGAGAGTAAATATTTTTGGCTTTGTGAGCCATAAGTCTCTGTTGGTTCTACTCAACTGCACAACTTTGCCATTGGAGCCGGAGAGAAGAAAAACAAAACAGCCAGAGGCAATCCGTTAACAGTGGGAAAGGGCATGATTCTCTGCCAATAAAACTTTATTTACAAAGCCAGTTGATGGACTGGATTCGGCCTCGGGCTGCAGTTTGCCGGCCCGTCCTCTAGAGGGTGACAGTCATCACTTGATGGGGGGAGAGCGGGGAAGAAGCAAAATGAACAATGAAAATTACCCTCATTTCCCATTTCTGGATGAAAACTACTATAGCTCTCATGTCTCAGTTTGAACTTTTCTCACTTGTTCTGTCGATAGAGCCTACAAATACATTTGGCAAGTACCCAAGGGCCCATTGAGGTTTATTTGTGTCCAGAAGAGACAGAAACACACAGTCCAATGAAAACAAACAACCAAGACCACAATGGGAATATCCCGAAACCCCCTTCCAAAGGTAAAAATTCCACGTTTGTCATTCGGAAACTATATTAAAAACGAAGGTGACCGGAAGGATCCGGTGCCGGAACCACATGCCTAGGCAAGACCCCCAAACTTCTGCTATTTAGCGCTATTAAGGTAACTTTTTTTTTCTTTTCAAAGGCAGTCTGACTAGTTACAGAATCAAATCATGGTCTTGAGCCAATGACTCCTCCGCCCACAGACGGAGTCCCTCAGGCTTTCGCTATGGGCAGAAATCGCTTCCCTTACGGTGTTTTGGAAAGCCCGCTGGGGCGCGGAGTAAAGCCGTGAGCTGTCTGAATGAATCATCAGCTACACTTGGCCACACACCTTCGCCTGATGCCTCTGAGATCATGTTAGCAAAAGGGAACGAGTTTGGAGCCAAGAGCCTTTTGTCAAAGAAGTTGAACTTGATTTCCGCTCCCCTCCTCATTCCCACCCGCTGGGGTGATGGGGACAAGCTACGGGAGGAAGACCCCGGGAGTATCTTAAGTTCTTCCCCCTTTTTCCACTCTCAGACTGGGGATATGTCTTCAGCCTTTCCCATTACTGTCTCCCAATATAGCCGCAAGAATTGGAGCGATTTAAGTGATTCGGGTCTGATTTGTAACACTGAGCACTGTAATTGCCATGGCAGCTCAGATGCTAAAACGAAAGATCACCTTTTTTCGCCACAGACATTCAAAGTGGATGTGTCTTATTACGTGTATTTTTAAGAAGTATCTTTAAAAAAGTTAGTTGTTCAAAAAAGACTAAGTGAAAATCCATTGAATCCCTACGACGAAGCCAGCTTTTCAGCATGTATGTTTTGTTTTGTTTTCCTTTAAATATTGACCAGCTGATAGCCGAGAGAAGTGTTTGAACTTGTTAGCCTCTAATCTTTGAAACGATTTGTATTCTTGTTTGCTAACCGTAGGCATCCCAAAAGTTGAGTGAGTTAGACGAGAACAGAGAAAGGCTGTCAGTCACTGTGCACGAGATGGGCTGGACCACAGTGGCATCTGATTGTCCTTCCAGAAGGTCCCGGCTTTTATAACAGCCCCGTGCATAGTCTTCCAACAAGTTGGTGTGATTTGTCTCCTAACTTATTTTTCGGTTTCCTCCAATTTTTTTTTTTTTTTTTTCCCTTCAGACTTGGCTTCAACCAACTCAGGACATAGCGATTGTTCGATTTCTATGGCAAACCTTTCTCCTTTGGCCTCCCCAGCCAACCTCTTACAGCAGACTGAGGACCAAATTCCTTCCAACCTAGAAGGACCATTTGTGAACTTACTGCCTCCCCTGCTCCAAGAAGACTATCTCCTAAGCCTCGGGGAGGAAGAAGGCATTAGCGATCTCTTTGATGCTTATGATTTGGAGAAGCTCCCGCTTGTGGAAGACTTCATGTGTAGTTGATTATGCTTTGTGTGACCTCCCCTTATAAACCGATATTTTTTTATTATGGAACCAGAACATCTGTCATGCAGTGTTGTCCCTTCCTACCTTCTTCCTCCGAGATAGTATCATGAAGTAAACTACAAACTTCAGAACAAAGCTGACATTTTAATGAATTTAAAAGGGGGGAGGGGGTGTTTGCCCTTTTTTTGGGGGGGGGAGTTTTTTGTTTTTGTTTTTGTTTTTTTGTCTATCTAAACGCACAGTCGCAGGCTCCCTTGGGAAAGCCCTGCTTTGCTCCAGGCTCCAAAAATCTCCTGGATGAGTCAGCAATTGAGAAAATGTGCAATCAGGTGTCTCTCACCCGTATTTTTCTTCCCTCCCTCCCGGATTGGCTTGCTGTGCCTGACGGATGCGCTGTGGAATGGGGTCTGGCCACCTGGCCCACTCGAGAACAGCAATCTTCCTTAATAGCATTTCAAGCCGTGCCTTCTCCGCGGATCGCATGTCGTTGGGGTCTGCTAATATGGAACGGAACGGCAGGAACTGTAAACTTGAAGTCATGCAAAGTATGAAATGGATTTCTTCAGCTCTTCTTAGGAATATTTAAATTACTGTCATAATTCAGTGTAAGCTATGGACCTTGTGTCCTGTAGGAGGTCAAGAGAACCTGCACAGCCTTTCGGACGAAGAACCTGTTTTCCGATATTTGTTGCAGATACAGAAGAACGGTAGAGTTCTGCCACTCGGAAGCTGTTGTGGATTTTCCTGTCTCCATTAACCACTCCCATTCCCCTGCCCCCAACGTATTTGTTAGTTTAAAGTTGATTTGTAGCAAATGCTTACTTAGGAGTTTTCCGTGGATTGTTTTTGCCTTTTTATTTTTATTCTTTTTTAATTTTTTTTTTTAGCTGCCATTTAAGCATTCCTGTGGCACCCAGCACCATTTCAATTTAATTGTTTACTTTGAAACGGTTTTTGCTAATTCACATTATTTAAGCAGAGACGTAGAGGACCTCTACTGATCAGAGCATCTAAACGTGTGTGATCTAAGGTTTAACAGCCTCTGCAAGAAGTGTCACCCCACCTTGCTTCCTTTCCCAGGACGGGAGCTTGGAGCCAGCCGGTCCTGGGGCTCGCTCGCGGAGACGGGTGGCCCATTTGAGAGGAGAACCAGGTCAGATGACATAGCAATCCCAAGGAGCAGCAGGTGTGGATCCCTCCGTCCTTGGGCTTCCCGGCCCTGTGACTGGGGCAAGGGCTCTCTTACTCTGCACTCAGGGAGACCACTTCTCAGGATGGGGTCAGAAGGAGAGGCCTCTGGGGACAAAGATATCCCCACTGTGTCAGTGGCATTTACTTAAAAGCTGGTGAGAACAGGGCGCTCCCACTGCATCGGGGGCTGCGATCGTCCTGGCCCAGAACCCATTCCCCTTCCTCTACGAAGGAGTCAGTTGGACCAAGGGAAGTCATTACACGGAAGGAGAAGCGATAGAAGCCAGGGCGTCTCCCACTTTACTCTTCAGGAACGGTGTCCCCCAGTTGGAGGCTTCGTGTCAGCTGCAAATCCTACCAGTTAGGTCCAAGAATGGCTTTCCCATTGGCCCTGGGGAGGCACCCTTCTCCCACTGGGCACATGGCATGGAACCTCAGGTCCATTGCTTGGATCCTGAAGACGACGGAAACAAGGGAGTCAGGTGGAAAAAAAAAAAAAAAACCTCAAAACAAAAACAGTTAAATTGAAATGCTATGTGCCTGACACCGTAGCACTCAATTCGTGCGTTTAACGGAATCGAAAATAATCCCTTAGGAAAAACACAAAACAAAACAAAACAAAAACAAAACAAAACAAAAAACCACGAAAGCCCCAGCCAGTTTACTCAAGGTAGATTTCCACAATATGCAAAGTGGTGGTGGGGTCAAAACGAATGACACCAGCACTTTAAACTCTTTGTGTGGGTATGCGTGGGTGTATGTTTGGGAAGAAAAACAAAGGTGCACATTATCCTCCTTTTTCTTCTTCGGCCTCCGTCCCCAGCCTCCTCCCTCACACACACTGGCTTTGGTACAAACAGCAGTGTGGTCTGTGATGAAGCTTTGGGGTGGGGGAGGGAGGGGGAGCTTTGTGTCAAGTGCCTACTAGAAATGCACTGTGGGGTTTTTTCCTGTATGGGAAACCATTTATGCCAAGCTTTTCCCCATTTCCCATATTTATCTCATCTGGTTAGCTGCCTCTGCTTCCAGCTCTGTAATGATTCTCTTTGCCAGCTGCACGAAGCTGACTTGTTTCCAAAGTCTAAAGACTGAGCTCTCACCTGGCTAGGTTGTTGTGTGTTTTGTTGACTTTCTCGTTACGCCTTTCCGTAATGTAATAATGCCGTATTTATTGTTTTGGAGATGAAAGGAATACTAATAAGTCTTAAGAGTTCCTTCATGCATAAGATTTTTCCAGTTAGTGGGCTGAGCTTGGTGTCCGTGAATTAGCCGTCCATGCTGTGTTCTGTTCGCATCGCCCATTTTTCCTTTCTGACATAGTATCTGGCACCCAAAGTGGGTTAGTGCTACAGTATTTGTGTTACTTTGAGTACTAAGTATGCAGGTTTTTCTGGTACCATTGAGTTGCTGCTATTAACGCTCACACATGAAATGGCTAAAAGTTACACGTGTGCGAATTATGACTGCGTGAGCCTTATAAAAGAAAAAGTGTACAAAGGGCAACACATGAGCTGTCAAACAGTATTAGGTGTGTGTTCACATGTACAGATCTGTGCATAGCGATCGTTTTATTTAAGTTGATACGTAGTCTCCTCACACTTTCATTATCTAGCGATTTTGTACAAAAAAAAGAGAAAAAAACAGCAATTAATTTGTAAACACTGCCAGAATATTTTCTAGCGGGTTTGTAATTTTTTAAGAGTTGTTCTATTTTGTTTCTGGGTTTTTTTTGTTTTTGTTGTTGTTGTTGTTGTTGTTGTGGTTCTCGTTTCCGTTTTTGTTGTTTAAGTGTAGATCTGTAAATAAAACTGCAGTATTTAAAGCTTTAGCTTTCAGGAAAAAAAGAAAATAAGAACTCAGATGCGTGCATGGCAGCCTGCGTGTGAGAGGAGGGATTTGAAGGAACATGGCTTGCAGAGTGAGTCGAGTGGCAATTGTCAGATTGTGGGAATTTCTTTTCCTACGGGGTACGTGATTTTTGTCAAGAGGAAGTATTTCTCCCAAAATTGGGAGTAGGCAAACTACTAATCGGTTTAGCTTTGTGTTGTATGCTAGTTTAAAAAAAAAAAAAAAAGAAAATATGTAATATAATGTAAAAAAAAAAAGCTTTTATGATGGATTTTGTAAATAGATTTGTTACAGGGTAACCTGTTCTCTAGCTGTGATCTTATCACTTCAAATGGGTGTAATTTGAATAAATTTTGTATGGTAAAGGATCAATAAAATGATTTTTTTTTTAAGAGTTCAGACTTGTAAACGGCTTTTCTTAATGGTATCTTACATTCCTGCATTAACTTCATTCTTAAAGACGTGCTTCAGCATGGAGAAAGGTGGCCCCAGAGCCTGAGAACACACCTGTATGTGGGACCCGAGGAACAGTGCCCAGACATTTGCCGAGCACCTGCGGTGTGCCCGGCCCTTGGAGAAGTGGAAGAATTCGCCACGTCTCTGACCAGCAGCAAAGACCACTCTCAGATGCAGAAGGATTTTTACTCTCCGTGGCAAGTCCAGTTTTATTTTTCATAATGAGTTATGAAGCCAAGACATTTTAATTCTCACGATAGGTAATTAACCACCCTTGTCCTGGATTCCGTGTTCCTGGAAATGCCGCCTCTGAGCAGGTTGGGATCTTTGGATGGCCATCATGCCCTCTTCAGCCTGAGCTCATCATCTAAAATTCCAGCGTATTACGTATGGTACGTACACACGCAAGCCGGCAATCGATACGCAAGGGTATAAAGTACGCAAACAAAACCATCCCTGCCCCCCCAACCTATTCACCCGGAAGGAAACCACTATCCTCATTTTTCCTGTGCGTCTACTTCCAGTCCACTTTTCTCCAGGCATATGACACGTGTGTGCGCATGTGTATTTTAACATAAGTTGTACCATGTAGACTCCTCCACAGCTCTTTTTTTCTCACTGTAGATTTGGACATCTTTCCATGTTTGTACTTACAGACCATGTTCACGGTCTTCAAAGCCTGCGTAGCGTTCCAGTGATTAAAAATTTATTTAATAATTTATTTTACCCAGGTAATTTTTTTAAAGATTTTATGTATTTATTTGAGAGACAGAGAGCACAAGCAGGGAGAGGGGCAGAGGAAGAAGCAGACTCCTCTCTGAGCAGGGAGCCTGACGTAGGACTCGATCACAGGACCCTGAGATCATGACCTGAGCCTAAGGTAGATGCTTAATCCATGGAGCCACCCAGCCCACCCCTAGGTTATTTTCTATTTGAATTTATTGAATGCTTATATTATGCCAAGCACTATTTCTTTTTAATGTGGCAAAATACCCATAACATGAAATTTACCATTAGTGACATTCAGTACATTTACAGTCTTGTGCAATGACCACCACTATCTAGTTCCAGAACAATTTCATCACCCCAAAAGGAAACACATACCCATTACCAAACCCCATACACTTGCACCCAGCAAACCACACCCCATACCCGGCAAATGTTAATCTGATTTCTTTCAATATGGATTGGCCAATTCTGGATATTTCCTGCAAATGGAATTATACAATAAATGCCCTTTGGTATTTGCCTTCTTTCACTTAGCGTAACGTCCTCAAGGTTCATCCATGGCCCAGCATGCGTCAGTACTTCATTCTTTTTTTAATGCTTGACTCATGCTCCGTGGTGTGGATAGACCACATTGTGTTTATCCATTCATCAGCTAATGGACGTTTGGGCGATTTCTACCTTTTGGCTATTGGAATGCCAGGTACCATTTTAAGTGCTTTATATGAGGGCTCTATGTTTTCTTGAAGCATGCATCACTAGCTAATATATCTGTTGTTTCTCTACTTCTAAAATGTAAACTCAGTGAGGAGAGGTCCTTCCTGGGGCTTGAACTCACAAACCTGAGATGAAGACCTGAGCTGAAATCAAGAGTCAGATGCTTAATCCACTGAGCCAGCCAGGCAACCCTAAATATTGTAGAGATGGGTTGTACTTGAGAAAGTTTGAAGTCAGTCTCAGGAAT